TGATTTGGACAGGTTTGGTTAAGTAACTAGGGCTGTAGAATTAAAATCACCAACATTCTGTTTGATAGCTAAATTAGTAAGAACTTGTGTAGTTACATTGTGGTTTATAGTACATTTCCATCTTTTTAGTAATCTATCTAGTTGCTTGATTTGGACAGGTTTGGTTAAGTAACTAGTGATGTAGAACTAAAATCACCAACATTCTGTTTGATAGCTAAATTAGTAAGAACTTTCTTATTTATCAGTTTGTTTGTTTTATAATAGATTTTTGCTGGTTATGTTCTACTAAACTTTTCAATTTATAGAAGCTTAGAAAGGATCATGATGTTCAAGTATATAACAATGCTGCTTTTCGTGTAGGATTTGTTTCTGGCTCTCCTCAGTTTTTAAAAAGTAATTTTAAAAACATTTTAATTTTGTGGGCTTCTGGTAAGCTCTTTCCAACTCAATTATTTTTACTTATTAGTTTTTTTTAATGTTGATTAGTTTTATGTTTAAATTCTAAATCAGAACAAAACTTTATGCTTACCTGCTCTAATATCTATACTAGTTTGATATGTATTTTAGATATACTGTAAATTCCCTTATTTAGGCAACACAGGTACCAGAACTGTAATAAGTTATATATCGCTTTCTAGAAACGGGTCAGAAATCTCCAAGAGTAGTAGATTATTCAGACATTACTGAATTAGCAGATGAAGTCGAAGAAGAGATTAAGTCAACTTTGTTTGGTAATAAGGTAACAGAATTAGGTAAGTACATTTTCCCATAAAGTATGAAAGAAAAATGTTAAATATATTTTCATTAAATAAGAGGAACATTATCTTTATGTGCTTTTTGCTGGAACCATACGGGATACTTTGCATAATTGATTGCTTTTGATGTTTCTTTGTTTATGTATGAGTTTATTTTGTAACTATATTGTTCTTACATAGAAACTCATAGGATGAGCATTGTCTGATTAAAAAGTTTTCAAAATTCTTCTGAATGTAGCAACACATAGAGAATTGTTACTGGAAACTATCTGAGGGAGCTAAATTAAAGAATGATCTCCATGTTTGATAATTAAACTGGAAAACTATCTTAAATGAATATCAAAAGTTTATGTTTTATTTTCCATTTTCTTTATCATATCACTAACTTTAGCTATTATCATCAATGTGCAGTGCAATGAAATGTTTAAAATTAAGAAATGGAAATATGTACATACCATTTAACTCTTCATTGAATAATCTTAAAATATCTTCTTTGGGCCATATGTGTAATTTCACGTCTTTACATTTTCGCTTATACTTTATTTTTAAGCCGTTAATTTTCTTTCCTATACTTTACTGTTGATTATTTATCTCATCACACCTCAATGGGTGCCCACAGGCAATAACAACGGTATCATTGGCAGAGATACTTTAGCCTCAGACAAAATGTTTTGCACTTGCTTAGTAATGTAAGACTTGTGGAGTGAGGCAAAATGTTGGTTATATGAAAAAAATTATTAAACCTTTCAAACATGAATTTTAAAAAATAAATAATACATAATTAACTAAAATATAAAACTTAAATCTAAATGCAGTGTCTATCAAACTAATATGTATAAGGTGAGAACAAAAAATAACTATGCACTATGTCATTCACCAACCATGTATTCAGTGGTTTGAATTGTGAATGCACAGTCCATGATGGTTTCAAATTAGCCTTGAGAAAATTGGAGTATATAACCAACTCTTTCTATTAGTTATAAACATGCCATTCAAATGTAATCTGTTGTCAAGTAACAGCTCTTTCTAATTTTGAAATTGGGCATAACTTCTAACTGAGGGGAGAATATTTACAGCTTGTTGCATTAAAGTCTGTTTATGAAATTTTAATGAAGTTAGTTGTAACCAAGCTCTATACATGTACTTTGATTATTTAAACAAAAAGTATACATTAGGCATGATCGATTTGAAATAGAAGAAACAAAAGCTAAGATATTTTAACCACAAGCTCTTCATATGACAACTAAACTGAAATTTTAAATATTGTTGTAGAGGCTTTTTTGGAAATAAAGGAATTAAAATTTAGAACTTTAAATTATAATGTACTTATTAAAGCTAATTTCATTAAAATACATTGATAGTAAAAGGGTTTAATTACATTTTGAATGTAACTCAGTAACACTTTGTGATATGTATATGCAGGAAGGAATTTAAAGAGTGACAGTAGTCATAAGGTTAAGGAGCTAAGTTAACTCTCTCACTACGGGTTCGATTGAATCAGCCAAGTTCATGACCACAAATTTACCATTGTAGTTACCATACTATAACTTCTAATATGTTTTGTCTTCACAAAGTTTCATAAACTTTCTGTAATAATTAAGAGTCATTTGTATACAAAAAAAACAGTTTTTTGTGAAGTATTTTCATTAAACATTTCTCCATTAATATATGATGTCAAAATGTTTTACTACTCTGATTGCAAAGTGGTTTTCATGTTAAGGTTAAAAATACTTTTTTTTCCATTTGTGTAATCTCTTAAAACCTCCAAAATAAATTTCAAACTTTTGTTTTCAGTAAAATTTTATATTGTATTTGTTATTTTTCTACCCTATCTCTATATGAGGTTGATCACGTTGTTGAACCTTGTAACCACCAAAAATAAATCTAAATTACACTTTTTTCTCTCTGGAATAGCTTCAAATTGTAACATGAAACTATGTTTGTTTATCCTAAATAGCTTTAAACTTGTAACAGTTTATACTGAAATTGTATTGTTTTTTTGCTCTTTGAACCATGTCTAACTAATATTCATGCCATATAAGTTGTAAATCAGTTGGTGAACATGTAGCTCACATTACTCTATCGAATTACATAATGCATGGGCTACATGTGATCTGCTTGTGAGTGAATCTCATGAAAATACCTAGAAAGGTTCTAAGTTTTACATTTTGTTTTACTTTTTTAATGGTAAATAAAGAATAAATATGTAAAACAATAGTACTTACCTGGTTTTTTCTTTTTTTTGCTGTCAACTCTCAATGATACTTACCCCTACTTTTATTTACTAATGGTAGTACTGCACTAAATTTTAGATTTAATTAAAGAATGCACCAAAGAACATAAAATAATAAATAACATGCAAAAGTAGACAATGTACCATAACTATCACAATTTTTCTGGCATTCTAACTGTGACGAGCTGTTAAAAATTCAGCTAAACTAATTGATGTGTTTCCCATGGGAAATAAGTTTGAACTGGAAGCAAAATTGAAAATTCTGTTTACAGAAAACAACATAATATAATACGTAATTTGATAGATTAAAACCTTGACTTTCTATCAGTTGTGAATGATATTGGCAATTTGTGCAAGAGAGAGTATGATGGCTGGATGTGAAATGAGGGGCCTGATTTCCTATTTTATGGCTCTGTAACTAAATAAGATTGAATGCTACGAAAATTTTGCTTTGCCTGAGCAATTTCAACATTATTATGAATAATTTATGTTAAATTTCATACTTCTTGGAGGAGTGGTAAATAAATTAGGAATGAGTGGGTGCCTAGAAAGAAAATATCACAATTCTCATACTGGAAGCAATTCAGGATTTTTTTAAGTATTGCCCTATAAAATTAAGAACTTAAAACTTATATACTACTAACATTTGCATTATTAGCAAAGTTTTTATGTTATATTTATTCTTATACCATAATAAGAAATAGTTTAATGAAATTTTGAATGTAACTCACTAAAACCTTGTAACATGGGCAGAAAAAGATGCCCATAATGAAAATGTTAATTAAAGAATGACCTCTATGTGTGATAATTGTGCTGGAAACTGTCTTAAGAAGCTAAGGTAATTAACTTTGTTTGCACAAGGTCAGTCTATTGGACTGATCCTGTATTGGAGAATTAATGTTTAGTGGAATTTCAAATTTAATATTTATATCTTTATGATATTTGGTGAGATTTTAGTAAACATGAAAAGTATGTTGTACACAAAAATTAGATTCTTTTAATAAAGACTTGTCTGTATAATTATAAAGTCAGTCTGACTCAGATTTTGGCTAGTCTCAGTGCAAGGTAATTGGCATGTTAAGAATAAAATTAATTATTTTCATTTTATATAACCTCCTGGTAAAACTATCTGTTACTTGTTATTATTTTCTCTACCCTAACACTAACTGTGATTAAATATGAATAAATATGAAATAAAATCAAAAGTATATATTTATTTCTAAAATAACTGTAGATCATAATAGATAATTTACAATTATTTATCCTAATAGCTTTAGTCTTCTAACTATTTCACAGATACTTTCATTTAACTTTATTATTATTATATTGCTCTTTGTCTAACTAATAAACTAGCATAACGAAACAATAAATCACTTTGTGAGAGCATAGGTCAAGTTGTGTTAAAGTATCAAATGCACAAGCACCTCACAGAGAAATGTTTTCATTTATTTTTCTTTATGACAATAAAAGTTTATACATAAAAAACAAGTAATGTAGTGCTTATGCATAGGCTCTTGCACTCAATCGTTGGTGTTTCATTCAAACTTAATTTTAGTTTTGTTTATAGTGTGTAAAGTTGTTATTTTTAATTCACGTATCCAATCCAAATACAAAATATTAACACTCGTAAAGAAAAAATGGTGTTCTAAACCTATTAAAATTTAAGTGGCTTTATTACTAAGCTATAACTGGGTTAAGATAATTTTATTAGCTGTTTGAGATGATCTTGGCTATAAGAACAACAAAAAATGTAGGCTGAATAATACAAAAGCTGTCATTAGTATAAGCTAGCCTTATAAGAATTTTGCTGAATTGAAATATTCTCTTTCTATTCATTATAAATAATCCAATAACAAATTTCAGAGAAAATATTGAAATTATTTGGAAAGACAGGATAGTGTAGCATATGGGTTTCACTTGTTTATATCTTAGAGAATTGGAGGCTATAAATTTACATTATATTTTAG